AGATAAAGTATTTATATTTTAGAGACCACCACAGGACCATGAGACCACCACAGGACCATGAGACCATCACAGGACCACCACAGGACCCAGAGACCACCACAGCACCATCACAGGACCCAGAGACCACCACAGGACCATCACATAAGAATGAGTCCACTCAGTAGGCTGTGACTGGTCTCGTAGACTCACTAATACCAGCGGATGTTTACACCGGTGCTCCGCCCTTTAACCCCCCCCCTCCAGTGACAATATGGAGGGGGACCCTACATGGACCCTACATGGACCCGGGTCCCCCCTCCCAGTGCCCCAGGTCTCACAGTCCCTTTAGCCCCCCCACAGTACCCGGATGTCTCACCTCTCCACCAGTACTTCTGAGAGATGGTGTCCCACGTGACCTGCTGGTTCAGGTGCTCCCCCCCCTCGGTGACGGTGTGCGCCTCGTTGATGAGCTCCCTCCTCCGGCCGTCCTGCAGCACCACCTCCAGCTCCGTGAACTCATGGTGGCCCTTCAGCCGGCGCTGGTAGAACAGAGTCCCGTCCCGGACCACGTAGCAGGTGGCCGCCTTCCGGATCTTCCTCTTGGTGTTCCCGGGCGTCCCCGGAGCGTACGGCTCCTGTTCATCCGTCAGATAGCGAATGATGGCCAAGTAGCTCTCCTCACACGACATGTCTCCTCCTCGCGGCTCTCTGCGGCTCGAGGACCCGTTTATATTTAATTTATAATTTATTAATATTTATAGACTGCGTGCAGACGGAAGATAACGTGAAATAAAGACGCCAACGACAACATTTCAAATTGTTTTTGAAGGTGGAACTGCAGTTCGTAACCGTCAGGGTAGACTTGCCCGAACAGACAAAATGGCTGCTGCACAACCGGAAGTTCCGTCCTCAGTGGCGGAAGTGCGTCGTTAACGTTGTCTGCCACCAGAGGGCGCAATGTGCCAACTTATAACTTGTTATAGCCGGAAACAGGCTCCAGATTCATTTCTTATTTAAGTTTATTGTTTTTATTGATCATTTAATCTTGATTAATCGTTACGATTATTTTGTTTCTTATCTATTTTTTATTGACATTAATATCTTAATTCACCATTTTTCTTATATACATTTTTTATTTTTATTCTAATAAATATATATATTTTTTGTAACTTAATATCTTAATTTATTGTAGGACATTCTTGTTTTGTTTATCTTTTATTTTATTTTCATTAATATCTTAATTTATTATTATAATCTCTTTAATTCATTTTTATTAAAATCTTAATTTAAGCATCTTTTATTTTTTATTATCTGACAAAAGACGACAAACTGCTCGTAGATCAGCTCATGAACAATCGAAGTGCATTTCTGTTTTGAACAGAAAAGTTTGTGTTCGATTAAAAGACAATAATAACTGTTACTGTGTTCTAGCTTCATGTAAATAATACTATTGTTTATATTACAGTAACAATGATTACTAAAGTGGATTCAAGAGAAAACACAGACAGACTGTTTAATTAAAACGTACAGATTGATTTGACATTGACTTATTAGTATTAGCAGAAATATATAAATGTTTTTAGATTTATTTCAGATCTGGTTCATTATTTTTCTGTGATCTGCCTCGCCTCTACCCCGCCACCCACAAGTTGTTGCCCCGCGGCCTGTTCCGAGGGCTGACAGACCTGACGATGGGGTGCCTCACGGCGGGGGCGGCTCGAGACCTCGCGTCCGGCGCCAACGGGTGAGCGCCCGCCACTCGGAACCATAAAACCAAGTCACGGATTTCACCCGGGGGACATTCTGGAGGTATTGTGGCCGGGTGATGTGCCTCGTTGCTGGGGAGGTATGAGCCGAGAGTGGCCGGGTGTTATGGAGGTATATTTTATTTATTTGTATCCATCTAACCCTAACCATAACTTCCACTAGGAAGCCACGCCCCCACCTAAACCTAACCCTTAAGAGATCACGGTTACTCCCGCATTTTACACGCGGGCCTTTGTGGAGGTATTGTAGCCGCGTAATGTTCCTCGTTGCTCGGCCTGGATGAGCGCATTTCTGCCGGAGACAGGCGGCGTGTTGTGGTAGTATTCTGACCGCGTAATAGGGAGAAGGAGAGGCGGTGGTGGAGAGGGAAAAAAATGTTAAAGTGTTAAAATGTTGATTAGAAACGTATTTGTAATAAGTCAATGTAATAAGTCAAACACAAACGTAATCAGGGAGAAAATACGTTTTTGGTCTAACGTAATTGAGAATGCATTTTAGTTTTGGGGGAACTTCATTTTTAGGAGACAGTGAGGTGAGGTTCTGGCTAACAGATGTCTGAAGCTCTTATTCACGTCACCACCTGAACACCAAGCATGCCAGTGCAAGTCTAAAGCCCCTTACATTTTATATCGAAATTGGAGGAGTTACAAAACAGCCCAAAACACCTGCAGTCTCATTCATGTTGGGTCTATAAAACACGCACTGCGGGCTTCTGGTCACAGAATAGCAAGAAAGGGGCTACCGCACACAATCACCCAAGACGTGTATGTATGATGGAGAGAGAGAAGCAAACAAGTTGGTCGTGATCCCGGTGACACAACACGGTGTCGCAGCATCGATGCTTTGTCCGAAGACATCCGGGCTGCATTAGTCGGTCGCGTGAAGAAGAGTGAGTTGTACTCTCTGCAAGTAGACGAGTCTACACATGTGGCCAATCTTCTGGTGGACGTCCGTTACCTTGTCTAAGGCACGGTGCAGGAAGATTTTTTGTCTTTTTTGTTTTTTATATTGTAAACAAACGCCACGCGCGAGCAAACTGTTCTCTCATTGGTCCGATTTTTATGCGGCTATAAATAGGCTCTGTTGCTTTTTTTTTAAGGTGTGGGGGATTCGGGGTGCGTGAACCCGGTCGGGATGTAGAAGGGGGTGCGTGGCCTAAAAAGTTTGGGAACCGCTGCTATATGAACCAGTCTTAGTGTAGTCCTGATCCTCTATATGAACCAGTCTCAGTGTAGTGCTGATCCTCTATATGAACCAGTCTCAGTGTAGTCCTGATCCTCTATA